AGTTAAAAATGTCCTAGGTGGAATGACTCACGGAGGTTTAACGAGCCACACTACTACATGGAATTATTCTTTCCTTAGTGTAGCTTACTCACCAGTTTTTTTTTAATTAAGGCTTTATGTTTTTTAGGGCAGTTTAAGGCCCACAACAAAACTGAGGGGCAGGTACAGAGAGTTCCCAAATGCCTCCCTGCCCCCACAGAAGCATAGCCTCTCATCCATTATCAATATCCTGTACCAGATTGGTACGTTTGTTCCAATTGCTGAACCTACACTGACACATCATCATCACTCAGAGTCTGTAGTTTACATTATGGTTCACTCTTGGTGTTACATTCTATGGGTTCAGAAAAGTGTATCATGACATGTATCCATCATTATGGTATCATACAGAGTAGTTTCACTGCCCTAAAAATCCTCTGCACTCCACCTATCCATCCCATCCACCACCCCCAATTCATGGCCACCACTGATCTTTGTACTTTTTCCATAGTTTTGCCTTTTCTAGAATGTCATATAGTTGTAATCATATAGTATATAGCCTTTTCAGATTGGCTTCTTTCACTTAGTAGTATGCATTTAAAGTTCCTCCATGTCTTTTCATGGCTTTATAGCTCATTTCTGCTTATCACTGAATAATATTCCATTGTCTGGATTACCACAGTTTATTCAGCTACTAAAGGACCTCTTGGTTGCTTCCAAGTTTTGGCAGTTATGAATAAACCTGTTAGAAACATCTGTGTATACGTTTTTGTGTGGACATATGTTTTCAACTCCTTTAGGTAAACAACGTAGGAACACTATTACTGGGTTGTTTGGTAAAGTATGTTTGGTTTTGTAAGAAACCACCAAACTATTTTCCAAAGTGGCTGTGCCATTTTGCATTCCCACCAACGAGTGAGAGTTCCTGTTGCTCCACATCCTCATCAGCATTTGGTGTTGTCAGTGTTCCGGATTTTGGCCATTCTAATAGATGTGTAGTGGTATCTTGTTGGTTTAATTTGCATTTCCCTGGTGACAGATAATGTGGAGCATATTTACAAATGCTTATTTGCCATCTATGTATCTTCTTTTGTGAGGTGTCTATAAGGTCTTTGGCCCTTTTTTTTTAATTAATTAATTAATTTATTTATTTATTTATTTATTTTAAGATTTTCTTATATATTCATTTGCAAGAGAGGGCGAGAGCACCAGCAGAGGGGAGAGACAGAGGGAGAAGCAGGCTCCCCGCTGAGCAGGGAGCCCAATGCAGGCCGGATCCCAGGACCTGGAGATAATGACTTGAACCGAAGGCAGATGCTTAACCATCTAAGCCACTTAGGTGCCCCTTGCCCATTTTTTAAGTTGGGTTGTTTTCTTATTGTTGAGTTTTAAGAGTTCTTTATATATTTTATATAACAGTCCCTTATCACATATGTCTTTTGCAAAAAATGTTTTTTCCCAGTCTGTGGCTTGTCTTCTCATTCCCTTGATACTGTCTTTTGCAGAGCAGAAGTTTTTCATTTTAATGAAGTCCAGCTTATCACTGACTTCTTTCATGGATCATGTCCTTGGTGTTATGTGTATAAACAATCATCACCATACCCAAGGTCATCTAGGTTTTCTCCTATGTTATCTTCCAGGAGTTTTCTAGTTTTGTGTTTTACAGTTAGGTCGGTGATCCATTCTGAATTTTTGTGAAGGGTGGAAGGTCCTTCTCTAGGTTCATTTTCTTTGCACGTGGATGTCCAGTTGTTCCAGCACAATTTGTTGAAAAGACGGTCTTTGCTCCACTGTATTGCTTTTGCTCCTTTGTGAAAGATCAGTCGGCTGTATTTGTGTATTCTGCTTCATTGATCTGTTTGTCTGTTCTTCACCAACACTACACCATCTTCATTACTGACGCTTGATAATAAATCCTGAAGTAAGGTAGTGTCAGTCCTCCCACTTTGTTCTCCTCCTTCAATAATGTGTTGACTAGTCTGGGTCTTTTGCTTCTGCATATAAACTTTAGAATCCGTTTGTCAACACCTCACCGTTTTTTGAGAGCAATATTTCTACTAAGTAATTCCAAGTAAAACATAGATGTCTTCTCCAAACTTTTATACTATTGTCAAAATTATAATCACATGACCATTAAGTCAATGGTGTCTCTCATTAATGAGTTTATCTTACCTTTAGTTGGTTATTCTCCTGTCCATGGCAAAACACAGGGAGATGGGAAAGCAGCATCCTAGGCCCTAAGGGCTCCCATTCCATCCCTGCTCTGTATAGTTATGAAAGGCTTTCTGAGAGGAGCGGCAGTGGCAGAAAAAGCAGGCCTTGTCCTAAACATAAGATTGATTCACCAGCAGAGTGCGGGACGCTGGGGTGGCTCAGTCGGTTAAGCGTCTGCCTTCAGCTCAGGTCATGATCCCGGGGTCCTGGGATTGAGCCCCGCGTTGGGCTCCCTGCTCAGCGGGGAGCCTGCTTCTCCCTCTCCCTCTGCCTGCCGCTCCCCCTGCTTGTGCTCTCTCTCTGTCAAATAAATAGAATCTTTTAAAAATGTTTAAAAAAAAAAAAAGATTCACCATCAGAGCAGTGGTCTGTCACCCCACTGCCACCTTTGGTGGGTATGTGATTCTCTTCTCCTAAGCTGCCAGACCAGGCCAGAGTGTATATGCCCTCAGAGGCTTCAGCCATTTCCCTGCCACCTGCTTGCCAACAGCGCAGCTGCTTAGCGGTACGTGTGGAATCAGCAGGAAACAGTGTGAACTCTAAGCCAACACTGTTCCATAGCACGGCTCAGGGCAGCAGGAAATGGAGATCCAGCATCCTGTCCACCTCATCATCCAACACCTGTCCATCATGTGAGATACATCTAACCCCTATCCATCGTGTGACATACTTTCAGCAAGTTATTTAACCTCTAGAACTTTGATTTTGTCATCTATAAAATGGGAACAATAAATACCTATGAGGCAGGCTCTTGTAAAGATTAAATGAGATGAAACATCCCTAGCATCTTTCCTGGCAGTTGGTGGTCAATCAGGAAGGTTAATATCCTTCCAAATAATTGGCATCCAGAGAACGGAAGGAAGGAACAAAGGAACGAAGGAAGGAAAAGGCAGATTGTTACCAAGATACTGATGTTTAAATTTGGTTTCATCTTCTACATCCTCACTAACATCCAAAAAATACAGCAATACTGGGGCATCTGGCTGGCTCAGTCAGTGAAGTGTGCAATTCTTGAGCTCAGAATCTTGAGTCCAAGCTCCATATTGGGCATAGAGCTTGCTTTAAAGAAGAAAATTATGATCTCTCTCTCTCTATACACACACACACACACACACACACACACACACACACACACACACACACACCAATGCCAAGTTACCGTCCTTTGCCTGTTGAATAAGCAAGATTTTTATGACAGTTTTCAGTGCTGATGAGGGTGTAGCCTGCACTTCTGGCAGATACGTGAATAGGTGCACACTCCATCTGAAAAGCAGTTCGAGATACGTATCAAAAACCTTCCAATGTCCTTATCCTTTGGTCTGTCCCAAAGACTCTCCTGAGGAAATGCCTTTGATAGACCTAGAATTAGTATGTGCAAAGTTGTTTGCCACAGCATTCATTATTTATAGTAGTAAAAATCTAGGGGCGCCTGGGTGACTCAGTTGTGTCCAACTCTTGATTTCAGCTCGGGTAGTGATCTCAAGGTCATGGAATCAAGCCCTCCCTCGGGCTCTACGCTCAGTGCAGTCTACTTGTCCCTGTCTCTGCGCCTCCCCGTGCTCATTCTCTGTCTCTAAAATAAATAAAATCTTAAAATAAATAAAGTTTTGTACACACACACCATAGAGTATGTATAGCCATTAAAAATAGTTTATAAGGGCGCCTGGGTGGCTCAGTTGGTTAAGCGACTGCCTTCGGCTCAGGTCATGATCCCAGGGTCCTGGGATCGAGTCCTGCATCGGGCTCCCTGCTCAGCAAGGAGCCTGCTTCTCCCTCTGACCCAACCCCCTCTCATGTGCTCTCTCTCATTCTCGCTTTCTCAAATAAATAAATAAATCTTTAAAAAAAAATAGTTTTTAAGACTGCCAAGATGGATGGGGCGCCTGGGTGGCTCAGTTAAGCATCTGCCTTCAGCTCAGGTCATGATCCCAGGGTCCTGGGATCGAGCCCCACCTCGGGCTCCCTGCTAAGTGGGAAGCCTGCTTCTCCCTCTCCCACTCCCCCTGCTTGTGTTCCCGCTCTCGCTGTGTCTCTCTCTGTCAAAGAAATAAATAAAATCTTAAAAAAAAAAAAAAAAAAAGACTGCCAAGATGGGAAAATAAAATACAAAAAACTTCATATATTATCTGGGAAAACCAGGTTATAAAACTGTATATATACTATGATTCTAACTTAGTGGGGGTTTTTTTATTTTATTATTTTATTTTATTTTATTTTATTTTTTAAAGTAGGCTCCATGCCCTGCATGGAGCCCAACACAGGGCTTGAAGTCATGGCCCTGAGATAAAGACCTGAGCTGAGATCAAGAGTCAGATGCTTAACTGACTGAGCCACCCAGGGGCCCTTCTAGTTTAGTTTTGTATACACACACATAGACTGGCAGGAATTATACCACATCTTTTTTCTAGCTTTATTGAGATATAATTGACATATAACACTGTGTAAGTCTAAAAGTACAGTGTGTTGATTTGATACATTTATATATTGCAAAATGATTTCCACCACAGCATTAGTTAACACCTCCATCCTATCACATAATTACCATTTCTATTTTGTGGTGAGAACATTGAAGATCTACTCTCTTACCAACTTTCAGAGGACTGGACCACATTTAGCTATGTCTTCCGTGTTTTTCCCTGGACAGTAGGAGTTGTAATGAATGTTTTTTCTTTCATATTTGTGTTTATTTTCCAAATTCTCTCCAATGTATTACATTTAAAATCGGGAAAATGGTATTAATTGGCATAGGTATACTAAGCATTGTGTCCCTTTGAAGTGGCTAGTAATATTCTGCTTCATTCCCACAGCTGTTGCTGGACACCCATTCCTTGAAGATGGTCCTGCTCGATCTACCTTCCATTGGCTCACAGGTGGTGAGGAAAGCACCTGCCAGTTACACTAAGATTGTTGTGAAAGGCATGACTCGGGCGGAAATGATACTCAAGGTGGGGCTTGTATCTTCCTCAGGGTTTCTGTTAAAAGGGGCTGGTTATCTGATGACTTATTCCAAGTAGTACTGGTTTTGGAAAGTATCGATCAGGGCCTGTGTCCGTCAGTCCCAAAGGATTGTCCACATTCTCTGACTGGACTAGATTTTGGCCTCATCAGATATTGTTGAAAGTCAATGGACAGTTACTCAGGGGATCAGTAATTCTTTCTGACAAATGAATTTTTCTTTGCAAAGAGATTCTCTTGTAGTGGGATTTGGCCAAGATTGGAAATTAGGTGGGTTGTCGCGGTGAATCAGTGTCTCAGTCAAGAATCTCTTTGCTTCTCAGCAGGAATTTCCAGCCCAGGTATCAGTTACTCCCTTCCACATAAACCTCTTCAGCTTTCTATACTCTGCAACTTTCCAGGAACTCCAAACAGATGTTGCAGTAATTGAATCTAATCAACAAATGGGCTTTCTAAAGCCCCATTTAACAAATTATTATATGTGGGTGATGATGTTGAAAATGTCTGAAGCCTTGAGCACCTGCATCTGATTTCCACCTGCCCTTGAGAAGGGGGTGGGGGGGGCCTCTTGAGGGAGGGGAGAAGGCTGGAGAACAAATGGAAATGTCATGAAATGTTCCTAAAAGTGCACGGCCTGCAGGCTCGTCAGGTCTGTCTCCCAAACAGAATGGCTCAAATGATGGCAGGAGTGAAAAGTAGCTATGGGACCTGAGACATCCACGGGACCAGGTGAGGGTCCGGCCTGAGGAACTTGGAAGCAGCCTAATCCGATTCTCCCCACAGCTCTCTTCCTCACCGGGGAGGAGAGCGTGCAGCTTGGAAGCTGTCTGCAGGGAATTTCTGAGTGAACTACTCCTTCTTTGCCCCTCTGTGGTCCATTCTCAGGAGTTCAAAACAAAACCAGTCTGCTTCAAGAAGAAAATCAGACACTGCATTCCAAAACCAAATAGGAATGAATTTGAGGATCGCAATGCCATTTGTGTATTAATTGGCAGTTTAAACGATGTAGTTAAATGAAGTTCAGATTTTAATTCTTGAAGAGTGAGGCAGCTTTGGGATTTTTGTCCTTGGGAAAATCCACTTAGATCTATGGCTTTTGCGACCCATCCCTCAGGGATAAAGGTGCCTCGGGACAGAAGGAGCAGGTATCATGAACCCCTGTCTCCAAACAGTAAGACTCTCCAACAAGGTGTTTCACAAATGGTTCTGGTATGGGACCCACCCCGAGCCTTCTGAGTTAAAATCTCCAGGAGGGGGACATAGAAATCTGTTACTTAAAAAGCAATCCAGGTGGTATTTATGCTTTAGCAAATTTAAGAAACATGGCTCTCATTGAATTTTGAGGTGAAATAGGCCATGGGGACATTTCTGAGCTTAGGGTTGCTATTGCTTAATGAAATCTTGCAGAATCCGTTTCGTGGTCAGCTTGCAAGTAGGGAAAAATGATCACCTGCCTTGCAGTCATGACTTTTCCTGCAGGCCCACTCCTGTCTCTCTACCCTGGTAGGTAGTGATGGCCCCTCACGAACCATTGGTGGTGTTTGTTGACAACTATATCAAACTCCTTACGGACTGCAACACAGAAACCTTCCAGAAGATACTGGACATGAAGGTTAGTTCAGTGCCTTGTTTGGTCCACACTTGCACACCTTTGTCACACTCAGTGGTTCTTAACAGGGGGTGGGGGGGGCGGGATTTGGGCTCCTGGGGAGCTTTCTCAAAGTGCATATGCCTGACCCCATGCTGCAAACCAGATTCTAAGAAGTCTTCTGAGGAGTAGGATACCAGGCAAAATAACTTCCTGATGCTTCTGGTACCTCCATGCCCCTTCAAGAACCAGGAGGCTGGGGGCAGAAGGAGTGCAGTGGAGAGGACTAGTACCCTTCCCCACGCTGTCCCTTCTCTCTCGACCCCTTCTTTCTCTCCTTTCCTTTTATCTGTTTTTCCTCCCTCTGCTTTTCTCCCAGGCTACTACCGGGCAGGGCTGGTAACTCCCCTGAAGAAAGTGTTCGTCCTCAGCCTAGAGTAATTATGCAGTTCTCACAACCAGATGCTACACTTTCCCTTCAGGTCTTTCTGGGGCCAGATTTCATGATTATCCTCCTTTGTCTTTCAACCTCAGGGGCTGAAGAGAAGCGAGCAGAGCAGCATGCTGGAACTGTTGCGCCAGAGGCTACCCGCCCCGCCTTCAGGGCCAGAAGGCTCCAGCTCACTGTCCCTACTGGCTCCGACACCAGAACAGGAATCATCTCGTATCCGCAAGCTAGAGAAACTGATTAAAAAGAGACTGTAGGAGCTTACAGAGGGCACTTTTCTCCCCTGACCCGTGACCCTCAGCACCCCATTGCCTGGAAGCCCCCCCCACCTCTCCTGTGCTCCCCCTGACTTTCAGATCATCAGTCTTGAAACTTCCTGGGACATTTGGGTTGTTCATGAGTCTTCCCCATGACCTGTCTTGATTCGCATCCTGATCAAGAAGCCAAGCAAGGGCAGGGTGATGAAAAGCCTCCTTAGTTGGTCCCGGATTCCTGCAGCAGAGGCAGTCGTGGGCGAAAGGGCCCTGCAGTCCATTTGTGTTCCACCCGTCCAGTTGTTACTGGCCTCGCTGCCTCGCCTCTGCAGTCACATCACCCGGCATGTGGCCCCATCTCCCGTGCCTGTGCAGGCAACTTGGGTAAGAAACCCTGGATCTCCCCGCTTCCATCTGCTGCTGTTTGAGGTTACCTCTGCAGCCAGGCCCTAAGATTTGTCCTCCCTGCTCCATGGGCTTGGCTCTGGGGCCCGAGTTGGCAAATGACAGGTGGAGGACATTGGCCTTGCCTTATGAAGGCAGTGGAGACAGGAGCACTCTTCCTTGTAGATCCATTTCCTCGTACGTATTGTCATGACTGGGCCAGTGCATTCTTCCCGTTTCTCCCTAACCCGCAGTCCTCTGTATACATCCAAGGAGAAATTCCCACTGTATCTCTCGCCCAGGAAGATTGTGTGTGCCAGGCCTTGGAAGCAGGTGTCCTCTGTGCCATGGGGCTCCTTGCTTGGGGGTGGGGGTAGACCCATATCTGCACACTCACTGCATGACGTAAGCAGATTATTTTCTCCATTTCTTTATTCCCACCCTGCTCCTGACTTCTAGAGGAGGGATTGCCTTCTGTGAAGAGAAACTAAGATGTTTTCCTAGAAAGATTGTCCTAGGCTTTCTCCTCAGATGAAGCTGTGGGACAGTGCAGGAGGCCTGGGCCCTCTAATCCCCTTCCTGCCCATTTATTTTCAAGCCCAAATTACTTTCCAGAATGATCTGAAACAACAAAGGTGATGTGAAGTGCCAGAATGACATATGACTTTATTACTAACGGGAAAGAACCCAGGGCCATGGCTACCTTGGGAACAGAATGTTGACCTTAAACACATGCTCAGAGCCTGGCCCAGCCCAGAACACACCCCCACCCCTGACCCTGGCCGGCCCGTCCTGCCCACTGGCACGCAGCCAGCACAGCTTGGCAGAAGAGAACCTCGTAGAACTGCCTCAGTCCTCACATGGTCCTGCAGTGCAAGAATGGGCAGCGTTATCAGGTAGCTGCCCTGATTTGCCAGGTTCACAGGGACCCCGAACCCCAGCTCACCGTGCCCACAGCCTCGGGGGGGCCCACTGTTGGTGTGGGCATTCTTCGGGAATTTGGAACAAGTTGCTGGCCAGGTGGAGAGAGAGCTGAGGAGGAAGGAGGAGCTCTTTACAGAGAAGGCACATAACAGGCCTGGGGATAAAATTGGGATATCAAATAGCACTCAGAAATGGGTTTTCAGGGGCGCCTGGGTGGCTCAGTTGGTTAAGCAACTGCCTTCGGCTCAGGTCGTGATCCTGGAGTCCTGAGATCGAGTCCCGCATCGGGCTCCCTGCTCAGCGGGGAGTCTGCTGCTCCCTCTGACCCTCTTCCCTCTCGTGCTTTCATTCTCTCTCTCTCAAATAAATAAATAAAATCTTTAAAAAAATAAAAATTAAAAAAAAAAAAGAAATGGGTTTTCAGGATAGAGGAAGTTTCCTGAAAATCCATACAACTTGTGATAGCCACACAGGAGGACACTTTAAGGTCTGAAAATCAGACCAGGAACTGATGATTTCCCCCCTTTTTGTTCTCCAATCCCCTTCCCTCTCCGTTAACCTCTTCCCAGACTCTGTCCATAGGCCCCAGCTTTGATCCTGAGCCCCGTTTCTTCCTCAGCTTCCAGGCTCCTCTTGCTTGTCCGTGTGACTCTGACATACTGAGCATCTCAAACTCAACAGCGCTGAGAAGAAAGTGCGGCCCTTGGCTGAGCTCTCAGGAAAAGCTTGCTAAATAAGGAAAAGGCAGATAGGGTGGGGAGGGGATTGGGCAAGCATGCGGGCCGAGCAGCCGGGAAGACTTCACTTTGCCAGGACAGCCGCCGTCTCACTCCGGTGACGTCCTACCGCCCGCACTAATGGAGGTTAACCTCTCTTCCTGCTCTTGAAAGAAGGGCCGATGGGCCCATCTGCAAACGGCACAACCATTTGGGCCAGCCGTCGTCAACCTGGGGAGCCGGGGAAGCCGGTGGACTCCACCTGGTTCTTGTCCCTCTCGGTGTTTATAGATGCACACTTCTCTTTTTGGTTCATTCCTGGGGAGTCGTTTTCTGGACATCTCTGTAACGCATTGAGATGTCAAGCCACTGTTTTCTCCCAGTTGGTGGTCACAGCCAGGGAAGTTGCTTTCTTGATTTATTACATTGTCAGGAATCTCCAAGGAGCTAACAGATGTCAGTAGGAGTTATGTTAAATGTCTCATTGATGGGGTCTGAATGCTGTGTATGCCTCCTTTAAAGACAGAGCACGTTTCTCGACGGGGGGGGGGGGGGGGGGGGTGGCGGGGAACGCATCAGAATCCCCTGGGGCCTTTTTACACGTATAGTTGTCTGGAGATTCTGAATCCGTATGTCTGGAGTGGGGCCAGGCATAGAAGTAATTCTAACGTTTACCCCTTTGTTAAAAACCTGCAATAGAGAGAAATTTGCTTTATCACAGTGTTCCTGTAGCACATTTTCATAAATGTGTATTTTTCCTGGCTCTCTAAGCGAGTATAATTCCTATACAATTGAGCTGGTACCAACATGGTAAAGATTCATTGCTAATATCCAGCAGCTTTAATTTTAAGCTTGTGTTGATGATAGGGATCATGCCAGAATTGTGCTGTCCCCATACAGACTAGAATTCTTAAAGTTTTGACAACAAAGCCCCAAACAGAGATTTGTTCTATTACTGTCACTTCAAAATAACATGAAGGAGGACTCACTGGTAAAAACTGTAACAAACAACACTGTTATTCAGCTAAATTAGATATTGTACCCATTCCTCCCCCCGCTTTCTCTCTTTAAAAAAAAAAAAAAAAACTTTGAAGCACTTTATGTGGTTAAAATAAATATTAATAATTTATGATGGATAAAGATCTGCTGTTCTTCCTACGGACAGACTTCCTGATAGCTGGCTTAGAGGTGCCCAGGCTGGAGAAAGTTCCGTTTGGATCATAACAGTGAGGAACCACAATGGACAGAGTTCAATTGAAGTCCAAGTTCAGTTCTGGAATTGAAACTGTCACCACTCCTCCCTCTCTTAAAGAACAAAGAACTAGGGATGCCTGGGTGGCTCAGTCGGTTAAGCGTCTGCCTTCGGCTCAGGTCATGATCCCAGGGTCCTGGGATCGAGTCCCACATTGGACTCCTTGCTCAGCAGGGAGCCTGCTTCTCCCTCTGCCTGCCTCTGTCTCTCTCTGATAAATAAATAAAATCTTAAAAAAAAAAAACAAAAAACAAAGAACTAGTACCTAGGACTTTTCCTGCCCCCCAGAGAAAGATGCCTGGTCTCTCATGCCTAGGATGGCTCTTCGGTGCTGATCAAACGGACTGAGAGCAGACTGCCAAAGACCAGGGTGACAGTTACAGGTGGACGGGGGTGAGCAAGCAGGGGCGGCTGCTGCCTGAGGGGAACTATTACCCTGGCCCATCCTGGATTGCTGTTGCACAAGGAAATCTAGTCCCCCCTGTTTGTGGAATGCTAAGGCCACAGCTGAAAATGTAATTCCTCTCCCTAGGAAGAGAAATCTCCAAAATAACTAGCTTGCTGATGGTGAAAGCAGGGGTTTCACACTTCTGATCTACTCCAAGTCAGATTTCTAAAAATAAAATCATTAGAACTGCATTGGGCCACTTAAACAATAGCCTTGGAAACATGGCCACATGAAAAGCTGGAGTGCAGAAAGAGTCCGTGTTACAAATCCAAATTTCCAGTCTCATTCTAGTATTTATCAAAAGAGATAGTCTCTCAGACCCTCAAAGTTCTATACCTTTGGGAGATATCAATTTCCTTAAAAATAAAGGGACTGCTTTTTGTGTAAATATCTTTCATTTCCCCCATCTGGAAGTGATTTCTCGGTGCATATTGGAGCATGAAGTACTACAGTTAATTAAAGCATTACTGAATGTCATTTGCTAGGGTGTATTTCCTCACTGTTGACAGAAAACAGAACGGACCATAGGAAAGAATCAGGAAGCCCGTGAGCCGTGGGCCCCCCGCAGCGTTTCCCCTGCCCCCTGCCCAAGACGGGGCCCTTCCCTGACAGCCAAAGGGAGCAATGCCTGAAGACAGCCCTGCTCGTCGGCAGGGTCCTAGCATGTCCAGGCTGTGCGGACACCCTCTAAAAATATGTATAAAGTGTGCTGCTTCCAATTTGGAACCCTTCCTGTGCCCTGAATTTCTATCCTGTTGACTTTCCCTTCTCCACCGTGCTGTTCCAGTCATAGCCTGCTTTTCCATGTGACTGCAAAGGAGTTCTCTCCTGTACACAGTAAGTTAATCCTGTTTCCTTAATAACTGGGTGGGCATTTTGCAGTGAACTTCTTGGGAAGTCTGGTGTTTCTTTCAGCAGTGGAAAATCTGTTGCGGCCCTTCATTCAGTTGGCTTGGAGATCATTACCTAGTTTCCATTATTTTCACCAGCTCCCCACTTCAACAGGGTGCCCAGAGATCAAGCTGATGAAAAAAGAAACCTTTCCTTATAACCCTCCAGAAGGGCAGGGCAGGCCGGTTCACCTGCCTGGTTCTCTTCCTGCTCACCTACACAACCAGCCGTGGGAGACCCCCGGAGAGCAGCAGGATGGGAAGAAGGTGTCCATTTGAAACACAAGCAGCCCAACACTGGAAACTTCCACAGAAGACCTAGTCTCCAGGTCTGGTTCTGGTACTTTGACGTCGGATGAGTCTTTGGTCCTCTGACCCTTAGTTTCCAGGGTCTGTAAAAAGGAATTATTTCTTTAAGATTTTTTTATTTATTTATTTGACACAGAGAATGAGCACAAGCAGGGGGAGCAGCAGGCAGAGGGAGAGAGAGAAGCAGGCTCCCCGATGAGCAAGGAGCCCGACGCAGGGCTCGGTCCCAGGACCCGGGGATCATGACCTGAGCCAAAGGCAGACGCCCAACCGATTGAGCCACCCAGGCGCCCCTGTAAAAGGGAATTATGATGAATCGGGCTGTGTAGATTGCCTAAGACTAGGCGGCGTGCACACGCTCGGTGTGAAGTAGGAAGCGTTCATTATCGCTGGCCAGGCCTGAACCACCGGCAGCTGGCCTGGCTGGATGGTGGGTGGCCATAGGGCTTGTTCTGTCCCTGGACTGACGTGAACAAAATGGCCCGTGCCCAACATAACTGTGCTGCTCTGCGCCTGAGGCGGGCGTCGGAATAGCTAGTCTTTGCCTTTTTGGGTCGTGTTCGAGATACACAACTTACTCAAAAGCTTGAGGACTCTCCGAACCCTATAATCCCCTTGCCCTAGCAGCTGCTATTTTCACAGTCTTTAGGGATAAACCTGCAGACACGGGGAAGAGAGCTTCCTCCCTCCCTCCTGTTGGCTGGGCCGCCTGTTGTGGAAAATGTGGCATGTTTCCCCTGAATGCAAATTAGAAGGGCTGCCAAAGGCTGCCCTCCCAACGAATTCTTTAGATATGGTGCCTGGTGTCTACAGACCAGACTTCAACTGGCCATTCATGGCAGGCAGGGACAAAACTCTTGCCTGCCCACTTCCCCTCCCCCCCTTACCTACAGTGACCACAAAACTACGGAAGAATATCTTGGGACAGACAGACGTTCACCAGCTATTGGGTTTACTTTACAGTTTGCCTTTCAAAGAAGTCTAGACATTTCCCAAGGCCAGCTGAATCCCTGTAAGCTGGGCTTTCAGTTTCCTTTGGGGATATTGATACAGAGAGTGCTAAGTGATAGAGCGATATTAAAGTTAAACAGGGTTCGGGGCCTTGTCCCCTGGGAATGTTTATCGCTTAATCTGAGGGCTCTGGTAGCTTCTGCTCAGTAATCAAATGGAATCTGTGTGATTGCCGGGCCTCCTTCTGTTTGGGGTAATTTTTCAAAAGTGCAAAATTAAGAACAGCTTCTCAAACAACTTCCCTTTCCTTCTGAGGCCAAGACAAGTATTTGCAAAGTGGGCCACAACTTTCAGGGGTACCAGGTGAAATGGGGGAGAGAAACTCTATCTTCTTGTGCTTGTTTGTTTTGTGCTGATGGAGAAGGGAAGGGACCAGCAGCTGGAGAGCCTGCATTCCACAGAATTCTTCACAAACAAAAGCCCTGTGGTGGCGCTGCCTAGCGTAGCCCCTGAAGAGGATTAACAGGCAGATGGAGAAATAGCACATATTGTATAAAGAAAACGTGAGTTCACACAGAGACACCCCACAACCTCATACCCTGTTGCGTCCCTGGCACGGCTCTTTAGGGTTCAAAGTGTTGGCACCTCAGCTCGCAGGCTCAGTTGTCAGAGGAGGGCACCAACTGTAGGTGAGGGCGTGTTGGTTCAGCCCGGGCCCTTGGCTGCAGCCTGGCTAC